CTCTGGTTTTACAGTCCCGGCTCCTTATAATTACTGCACAGTCCCGCCCTAACTAAAAGGCTGTCAAATTCATGTCTAAATAAAGTAACATTCAAAACTGGAGTATTAAAAATATATATTAATATAATGCTAAAAAATACAAAAGCCAACAATGTTATTAGTAACGTTATAATCACATTCGTATTATGAATTCAGTCCAGCATAGCACCAATTGCAACATCATGAAAGAGAATGCTTTCTGAGCGACTTTGAACGAGGTCAGAAGAATACTAACTCGAACTGTTCAACAACATACTACAACTTTCTTACCAGAATAGAATTGTATGAGCTTTAAAAAGGTCAAAGCCTTCAAGGAAATCATTTTGTTCCACCAAAGTCAAGCGTTGAATTCTAGACTTGGAATTCTTCTGTCAAATATAAGAGATACGTGTATGTAATCTATTAGTAAAATCCCTGGTCTATTGTCAATGCTGTGTTCTGATTGGTTGAGCTACTACTCGGCTATATGTTATAGCTCACTAGCAGCGAAAAGCGCGGGCTTTTTGGAGGCAAAAAAGGATTAAAGTCTAGCTTTAACTAGCTAATTTTTTTTTATTCTCGATATTTTTGACCAACTAGTTGGATTTCACTAAAACAATTATTCCTCTCGCCCTCATGGCTTCTGAGTTAATAGTCCATTCAGCCTTCGGCCTCATGGGCTATTGACTCAGAGCCCATTCGGGCTCGAGGAATAATTGTTAATAATAAATTTATTATTTTTTCATGGTATCAGGATGTTTTCCCTTTTCAAGTCTAGAAAACTAGCCAAGCGTGTTCAGAAAATTTGTAGACAGAGCTCCAGACTCTTACTCCGAATACATAGGCGAATACAGCCTATAAACGGAGCGAACGTTGGATAGAATATTTTATGATTTCTTGTTTATCTGGAAAATGAGGAAGCAAATTTGCATAGGTCTGATTGTCTCGATTTATAACATACTGCATGTTTGTCAATATTTTCGTATCCAAAGGAGAGCAAAAAGGCGAAGCATATTACGTGAACAGTGATTTTTCAAGGACAGATTCTAAACATCATAAAGGGCCAGTCAACTGATATATTTTTACTTGTTAACCAGCGAAATCCTTCGGGATACTGGCAAGTCACGAAAGGCGACCTAAGCCAAATTATTTCTTCCCTTCATGATTCTTTTTTGTTTAGGTTTAGCTTCTTCATAAGGTTTTAGTAGCGTCTGGTTGCGGGCCATGATTTCCGATAGATTTTTCTATTCGGAGTTTGCCAGTCTTTGCTGAGCACAGCTAGAGTTCAGTTTTTTTTTCTTATCGAAAACACCTTGAATCACCTTAAATCGCGTAAATTTCAACTCGTACCCTTGATGATTGGCGGTGAAATCGCGAAAATATCGTCCTCGTCGATCGACGACTCGCTTTCGGCATGGATTGGACTTCTGGATGGGACACGGATCAGGACCTTAGTAAACTTATTATACCTTGGAATCAGGGATAATCATTGGAACTCTGTTAACTTTGAGACCTTGGAAACACATTGCAATTAATTTTTAACCGTATCAAGAGCATCTTGGAATATTAAACTTTCATCTTGGATTAAAACATTGGAACTTTATCGAACTTTGTAACCCTGGGTTCGACCCTGGATAAAGCAAGCGGATGTTCTGTTTTGTTTTGTTCCATTAACCTAAAACCACAATGTTTATTTCTCTTTGAAAAAGTTACCTGTGGCAACTTACTACCAAGATTTGACGTATCTTTATACATATAGTTCCCGTTCAGGTTAATCAGAGAGCATTATGCGCATGTTCTCCATTACTTGTTTCCGTTAACATTCCAATTTAAGTTACACGGGTAAACCTTGTTTTGATGCAAAATAACTTCTTTTTCTTATCCAAATCGTGCTACGAAAATAACTACATAGCGATAGATCAAAACAAGATCAACTCCATCCTGGCGACCACTGTGGAAAGGGGTAGGGGATAGGGAGGAAGCAAAAAGGGGATGTGGATTGGGGAAAAATAGTAGCCTGCCACGCAGGCTACTATAAATTCAGTCATAAGCACATTAAACCAACCCATACAGGTAACCTACTCATCGATGCTCATAACATGACACATCTTTCCGGTTTCCTAATTTTTCCAAATTCAGATAGAACGCCATTATGCTTCCATAGACCAACGCATCTCACGGAAACGACTTTAGGCGTCTTGTTTGTAGAAGAAATACATATGAACAATACGGTGGTTGTAATTTGTTCCAAAATGCGGAATTTAAAGCAAGTTTTTCAATAAAAGTTTGACGAAAATGCTAACTGAGTCATGTGTCATGTTTTTCTCACCTTCCCGTGCTGTTTTAAGAGCTATTTTGCGAGATGAATATTTGACCTCGGCGGATAGAACTTCTTAGTTCTATCCGTCGAGGTCAAATATCCATCTCGTTGAAAAAACATGACACATGACTCAGTTAGCATTTTCTTCAAACTTTTATTGAAAAATTTGCTTTAAATTCTGCATTTTGGAACAAATGATAGCCACCGTATTTTTCATATGTATTTCTTCTATAAATAACAAAAGATCGTTGCTCAGATTTCAATCAACAACGGCCCCCACTAACAGAGGGTGATCTGCCTGTGCATAAGCATTGTTGTTTTTCAGTAAACGGCAAAGTCTGCTTCTTAACTTGAAGTGATTACAACCGTTGTCTCAGCCTTTCCGAGGTTGACAGTGACAAATTTATTGCTAATGATCTGGCTAATGATAGTAAAAACTCTGTGACACTGATCACCCATTGCAATTTTACTCTGAAAAGCGCTCCTAAATGGTCACTTAGCGAGTAATAACTACAGGATAGTGAAAGCTCTTCCGGGTGCGCCCGACCTGACTAAGCTGCCAGGTTTTGTGTGAGTCACCATCTTGACAGACGGTCGACAGTTTTTCGCTTTGCTCTTAATAGGCTTCTTTCAGATTCAAACAAACATAACTTTGACATGATTTCTTCCTATTAACTGTACTTAACTGATCAGACAGCCCGGATTTTCTTAATGTGGTCCGCAGTGTCGCAGCGTCAATGGCTTCAGGCCAATGTCTATTATATTCCCCTATAAGGTAGTAAAGGCCGGTTCATTTTAAACAAAAAGAAATTAAGGGAAAATTTACTTACTGTGCGATAAAGCGCTGTTGTCATCTATCTGCCCAGTATCAGTATCCCAGAAAATCTCTGCAACTCTGTCAGGGAAACTGGTCTGTCATGTCAGAGGAAGCAGATCAAAGTTTAAAATAGCGCAGAAATACCTTATGCAAATTAGATCACGGCGACAGCAGCGTCTTTTTTCTTGCGGATAATACTGAGGCTTCAGCAATGAAAATAACAATTAATTTCTTCGGCTAAGTCATGATGGTTTAGGCAATATCGATTTCAGCGATCAGGGTTTGGAGCGTGTTTAAAAATTCGCAGGTAATATAAAAAAGGGCAATGATCATTGAAACTACTGTAACCCTAACCCCTATGGCTGGTTTTCAGTGTCACGCCATTGAAAACAGATCAAAATAAAAATCATGATCAAAACCGTTCAATAGATAAAGTGATTGAAATGATGGGAAATGAAAGGAGGTCTGTATGCAAAGACCCTCGCCAAATTTCAGGTCAGAGGAATATTTCCTATACGAGATATTCGAAGAAACGTTTTACTCAAACGTTTGACTTGTCCTTGGGCCTCTGAAATGTATTGACCGAGCTGGGAAAACGCCGTACAGGGACTGGGCAACGAGGCGGGTATAAAAAGGGGGAAGAGGAGGAAGGAAAAGAGGAAAGGGAGGAAAAGACAGAAGATTGAGGGGAAGGAGGAAGGGAAAGAAAAGAGCCCATAGTCCCTTTCTCCGCCACCCTTTTTATGGACGCCTCCTTCGTAGGCTTACATGAGGGTAGTATACGACAGGAATTCTTCATGAAAGGAAGCAACGAAACAAGCCGTGTATGATTACGTTTATTGTATTGTAATTTTCTCGCCTTAAGCCATTAGTACAACGTTGACAAAAATCAGCCACCAAAAAATACGAATGTTAACTTAACCCATTCGCTCCTGAAGATTTTGCCGAAAAACGCGTTTTGAAGCTAGTCGAGTGGTTTTCTGGTCACTGTCGTGCTATAAAGAGCTAAAACTTACCACAAACCGGTTTACAGGTCGTACACTTCGCGGCCTTCTGATCCAGATGCAAAATATCAGCTTGCGTAGTCCGGGCATGCGCAGAAAGCAAAATTTCGAGATTTCGAGTTTTTGGGTTTAAAAGTGACACAGCAGTCTTGACTTTTACTTTTCGCTTTCTCTCCTCCCTTCTTTTTTCGCTTGTCTTGCCTCATTTTTTTTTCTCTTGCTGGGCATTTAGT